CAAAAGGCAAAAGAAACAGCCATTGGACTTTGGGAGCAGATCCTGGCCTGAGAATTTGGTCAGCAATGTTGCTGGAAGCATGTGGTAAGGGTCTTCACCTTGAACCAAGTCAAACTTGTTAAGTTTAGTACTAGGAAGCATTTTATCTTTTTTTCTTGCAACCATTTTTGACTTTTGTGCTTTATACTTATACTCCTTATAGTTAAATAAACTAGTTTTTCTTTTTTCTTTAATTAAAACTAATCCAGGATTGTGAATTGTTTGGGGTAGCTTCATTTAAGGTCGCAGACTGTGGTATATTGATCCCCTTAGAGGGGCAACAGACCTAATATACCAGCAGAGGGCTGGACAGTGCAGAACACATGTTTTTTGGGGGGAGAAATCCAGGACAGGGAGTGTGTTGGGGTCACCCTGCAAGTAGTAGCCAAGACTGCTGAAAGCCAGAGTGTGGCTTGGTGTTTGCTGACAGACTGTTTGGGTCAGAGTTGCTGGACCAAGGCTAAGGCTGGACACAGACACTCAGGATGCTGTTTGTGAGGAGCCCAGGTTGGGAGCTACAGCAGCAAAGCATTGCGAGGCACCCCAGGTTGCAGGGCAGGAGTGACAGCCTCTCACTGGTTTGGATTGCACCCCGAAATGTCATAATGACTGCGTGCTTCCAGCTTCTATCAGTGAGAGTTTTTCTTTTGACTTCAGTGGGCTTTGGATCAGGCCTGTGGTGGACAGAGACCCATGCTTGAATCCTTAAGTGGGAGCAGTAAAAGTATCCCGGGGGAAGGGAAGTTTAGTGTAAGGTTGCTGCTTGACCGTGCTGAAGACTGAATTATTCTATGGAAGGTGTACGGGACAAGCAGTGACAATGCGAGCTTCCCTCATCTCTGTATGTTGCCACTGCCAATGTGCCTCAACACTGACTTGGCGGGACATGTCTAAAGTGAAGAAAAGAGTTCGAGCTCCATGGCCCATTCATTCCTTATGCTGTCTGCCAAGGGTGCCGTTGGAGGGATCAATTAGTAACAGGGCAGGTGTCTACAAAGAACATCTGCACACTAGGAATCCCACTGAGGATCCCCCCCCCCCACACACACACACTTGATTCATGCAGGCCATTGAAAATAACAGCTACGGAAGTATGAATTTCTGTCTCCATGAAGGAAGCTAACCCCAGTGAATATTTATCTGTCTGCATTCTAAAGTACACCTTTGCTGTTAACAGCATGAATTGTGTCTTGTTTCATTAGTGACTGAAGTGCTACATTTAAACAAACAAAAACAAAAGAAAACAAACAAGCAAACTACCACCAGACATCACTGGAATGACTTAGAATTTTCTTGGGACTCCACTTTTACATTTTTTGGGTGGATTAGTACATAGGGATAAAATAATTTGCAAGAAATAACTTTCTGAAAACCTACTCTATCCCTCTATCTTGCTGCCCAACTGGGAAGAATGTTTGGGAATATACTAGGGGAAGTATCTCCATGGGGAACAAATATTTAATAATATGCTTCTCAGTTTCACAGAGAAAGGTATAACATGATTCAAAAGATGGATAATCCATCCAAAACATGATCCAAGTTGAAGCTAGACAAATTCAGACTGGCAATAAAGTGTAAATTTTTAATGGTGAGAAGTATCAGGGGGTAGCCATGTTAGTCTGTATCTACAAAAACAACAAGGAGTCTGGTGGCACCTTAAAGACTAACAGATCTGTTAGTCTTAATGGTGAGAGTAATTTACCATTGGAACAATTTACCAAGGGCAGTGGGGGATTCTCCATCACTGATCATTTTTAAATCAAGATTGGATATTTTTCTAAAATCTGCTCTAGGAATTATTTTGGGGAAGTTTTCTGGCCTGTGTTATATAGATATATGATCATAATGGTCCCTTCTGGCCTTGGAATCTGTGAAGTCTGTGGACACCATTTCTGTCTATATAACCCCTCAGTAATTCATTTTACCTCTTGCCATTATTAAAACAGCCTTTAACTTCTGTGCCATGTACAAAGACTCATCTTCTGAAGCCTTTTTTAATGTAGGTTGTATTACTTGCCTTTAGAGGATCCAATTAAAACTGTTCTGAAGGATGCAAGTTGTATGTCCATAGACATCTGTAACATGAAGAGAACATGAATAGATTCACTTTCAATCTCATTTAAGTTTGAAAGGCCAGGGACTTCAGCCGAATCCAAGATCTTCAGGGAACTATGTTCTTGAGATAATTTGGCTGTGGGTTCTGCATTGGAGAAATCAGTGGGAACAGGCAATTGATTTTGTGTGTGTTCTAATTGTGCAGTATTTATGCAGTTCTAATGTCAAAATTGTACAAGACTCAGAGTCTGCATATGTACATTAAAGCAATGGCCAACTATTTTCATCCTTCAATCTAGCTAGGTATTGGATTGCAAAAGGTTTTACTGCACAAATGCTGGAATTGTTGTTAATGTCCATCTGTAGGTTTTTAATCTTCTTGATATCTATTTTCCAAGCATGATCAATGTGAAGTTAAAATGCAGTTGGTAAAGGTCACCTATCTTGTGTGCTGCTTCCATGCAGGCCACTGTGTTGTCCTTCATGCAGACTGCTATTTCTGCCGTCTATCCTGCCTCTAGCCTTTCCTGCTTTAAATCTCTCCTCAAAGCATATTACTTCAGGTAGTTTATATTCCATAGCCATTTTAAAACAACAAATCTAGGACTCTCATGACTCCCTTAGCTGATTACACCATCATCTTCCCCTCTGTCAGCCCCTTGTTGTTTATCATCCTATTCTGTTGCTATAGTCTTAACGTGTATTGTAAGTTCTTCTGGGAAAGGACTCCCTTTCTTGTAACGTGCCAGGCACGTTTGTGGTGCTGCCATATATTATAATTGTTTCCATTACATATGTCCAGTTTCCGAGGTGGCACAACACACAGACTAGTCAGAACAGAGTGGGGATTTTTAAACAATTTAATAAATATGACACTTAAAACATGCCAATGCAGATGTGTTGGCACTTGCCAGTGGTTGTTTGCCATGAATGCAAACCCTCTCAGTATGTTGTACAGAGGAAACCTTCAGTTGCAAACCCTAGTCTTGTGACTGACATGCTAGTGCAATAAATTGTGCCTTAGTGGAGACCCAGAGGAACAACACAAACTGATTGGCGAGTAGGAAATGGTCTTTAACTAAAGGTTGGATAAAATTCCACCAGAAGCCTTCGGGATACGTCCATAAAGGTCACTTAAGACAGAGAGTTGCCTGTTGACTCTAGTTGCTTAGTCCCTCTTTCACAGTAAAACTGTTCCTTGTTGAGCACACAACATGTCTTGTCCTGGCGTGTGTTTAGTTATTGTGTGTTTTTTATTAACGTGAGTTAGACATAGGTAAAAGGTTTATGTTGAGTTTTCCTCCAGACCGAAAAAAGAAAAGAAAATGCCCTGCAGCGCAAAGGGGAGTTAAGCAACTGGAATACAACTTGGTGTGGCAGCAAAATTAGAAACATGATATAATTGGTTTGCCTTTGTGAAAGGACTGCAACCCTGATCCTCAGAATGTTGGCATTAGATCAGCATGCAATTTCCCATTCTACTGCCTGCTAGTCATAAGAATTTCCTGTTTCTTTTTTCTCAGGAGTAGCTTTGGGGATAGGGAGAGTTTTTATCCAAGAATTAACCTAAGTGTGTGTGTGGGTGGGGGGGGGGGGGCAGTAAGATTGGTTTTTACTCAGTGCATTCTCAATAATTTTTGATTTTTGTAGTTTTAGCTTTTTATATATTGTAGATTATGAAAAGGATAAAGAATGTGAGCTCTTCGGGGCAAGCACTGTGGTGCACCCATTTCTCCAAAGCCATGTTGCTGTTTGTTTGATAATGTTTCTAAGTGAAATAGCAGCAATTGAATGACTGCTGTTTGTACTTTTGATGGATGGTTGGAAACAAAGGTGACTTGCTTAATTCCCCTAGGAAAACATGACTCAAATTAGATCTGAATGTGTAGAGTTACTGTTAGGCTTATCAGACTATGGGAAGGATTTTACAGTGGAATTGCAGAGCAATAGATTTAGGATCAAATAACTGTACAAATTGGTGAGATTAAAACTCTCTGGATAGGACTGAGGGTGGGCTTCTAAAGAGCCCCGTTAGCATCAAGTATGTCAGAAGTGATGGTGGAGATTTCTCTCTGGGTGCTAATGTCTTTCCTACACTCCTGATTGCTGCATTGCAAAGCTGTATCTCACTGTCTCTAATTCCAGTTGAAACCAAATGCTAGAGCTAGAAGGCTGCTGAAATGTTTCTTATGCAGGAAGAATTGTCACGGACTAGAATAATCAAGAGCTCTGACTCTTTATGGACAATTGACCCCTCTAGCTCAGTGCTGTCTCTAAAGTTATTCATAGCACTGGGATGCTTAGACAGTAAAGCTGATGACCACCGCTACAAAAGGACAGTCCTTTGAGTCAGTATTTATACCAGAACTGGCAGTTAATACAAAGTAACTAGGTCTATATGAAGCATTTACAGATGCTCCCCAGGTTACACAAGACCCAACTCGCGTAAATTCGCACTTACGGAAAAAGTTCCGTAAGGCAGAAATAGGATTTTCAAGTTGTGGAAATTTTTGTGTAAGATACGGGTATACGTTTCCGACTTATGTTAAATTTGAGTTATACAAGGCTTTCCGGAAGGGAACGATTGGGTAAGTCAGGAGGCGTCTGTATTAGGTTTCAGATGTGCTGTGGGTGATTATCATTAGGCTTGGCAGAATTCAGTTTTTATTTTGTGATAATTTAATGGATAATATTGATTATTTTAAAACATTTTTTCATTTTTATCTGTTCAGATTTTCAGTTGCAGGAAATTATGGGGCACCAGACAATAGTTATTTAGTGACAGTAGATATTGAGAGTCAAAAGTTAAAGCTTTATAGCCATTAAAACACATATTGTCAACGTTGTATGTCAAAATATACAAAGTTAAATATCCATAGCTCAAACTCTAATAAATTCTCATGTAGCATTTTTCTTACTCTTTCTATCTGTAAGTTTCAGTAATTATCTATGGAAATATTTTTTGGTCAGTTTATGTGTGTGTGATGAAATTCAAGTTTGACATTTACCGATAAAATATAACCCTTTTATCTTACTCCATTTACCACAAATTCTTTGTCCAGTGATCCACATAGACTTTGGAGTTACCTCTGTGCAGCAGATGAATGCTTTTGTCTACCTGTAAGGCTGAAAGGCATTTTTCACCATGCTGTTGTTGGAGCCCTAGGCTTTCAGATCCAACAGACCAAGTGCTGACCATTCCTGACTAGTATTGTTTGACTCATTCTGAAGTGAATAGGACCACAGTGTGATCTGTAGAAAACTGGTGTCATGAACTCCCTCAGGCTAATAACTTTTAGCTGGCTGGCTTCCACATTTTGCACCAGCTGTAGTGGTCAAGGGCAGCCCCATCTGCCTTTCATAATAATTCAGTCTGGAGGTTGGAAAGGCCTGGATTGCTCTGACAAGGATTCTCAACAAAGAATCTATCACAAGACCAAATGCAGGTTGGAAAAAAAGATTTCTGGCCACCAAAGCCATCTGCGACATCTGGCCCCTTGACTGCTCCTTAAGCTTCTCTCAGTTGCAAACTTAATTGACAAAGAGTGGCCATCTCCCACAAGAAGAAGCGCATACACTGTCCCCACCATGCTCTTGAGCTGCTTTCACAACCAGCGAGAATCCCCTCCGTCTTATCCGGTTTGAGCTTCAGCCATCTCATTCTCATTCCAGCCCCTGTCTTGGCCAGGCACTGGAAAAGTAGACATGCTGCACCATCCAGACTCAGTAAAAAAGACCTGTGAAACTGCATGTCACCCCAATATTGACAACTCCACAGTCTGGACTGCCTCCTTATCCCCCATAGCAACCTCAGACACAGTAAATAAGGGGAATGTGGAATAAAACGCTGAGGAACTCTGCATAGGGTCACAGATGTGAAATTTCTGTATTTCTGATATAATTTACTCCTGATGTTTAACAACAAAAAGAAGAGAGAGAACTTGAAACCTAAAATAATGTCTTTCATGGTCAAGGGTTGGTTGCAGTCTCTGTATTGAAAGATTTTTGAGTGGTAACTCAACCAACAAGCAGCTAGCTAACCAAAAATTCAGAGCTTCTTGTGGGAGGAGGGGAAGAGGATTCTCCAGGCCCACTGTGCTCTATATCTCTGTCACCTTATTGTAAGTGAGAAGTGACACACACAAATGGCATGTGCAACTAGGCTTAAAATAGCCCTCCATCAAACCCACACACATTCCCTGGGCTCCTTATATGTCCTAATGCACATGCTGCTTCTCTTTGAGAGGATTGATTTACATGGGGCACTGATGCCCTGCCCCTCTCCCCCAGTGTAACTATTGGCATTTTTACCATTTCTTCTCAGATATGCCTTTTAACATTCTCTTTTAAATACAAACAAAAATTAATGTTAGTCTGTAAACCCGTTGGAAGAATTCTAACATATTCAGATTCAAGTCTGACAGTGTCATTATCTCAGGGTGCTGGGTCTTGTGTTAGTCAAAATCATAAGCCCCTGACAAGACGCGTGGCAGAAGCTTGGTGTCTTTCTCATTCACCGCCTTACATGAACTTTCTTTGTCCTTTGTAACACAGAATTGCCAAATGCTCTTAAACCGCTTGGGAGAAATCACAGGAATTCAGGATCCCTCGTTCCTTCATGCAGCCCTGAAGGTTAGTATGCTTTGCGGAGATACTGTGAATGTCGTCGTTGTTCTATTCTCAGCTGACTTTGTCTTGTTGCGTGCGCTGCTTCAAGCTTTAACCTGTATATGAGCTTTCTGTAAATAGCATTTAAACTCCAAATATTTGTTTGGCATTTGTAATATGCAGATATTAGAATACTGCCTTGCTTGAGATGCTCAAAACTGGACTCGACAAAAATAGTAGAATATGTGCTACAGGGAGCAATTCTGTCCAGGGCCGGCTCTGGCTTTTTGGCCGCCCCCCCCCCGCCCCCCCCCAAAAAACGGGGCAGCCAGAACGGCAAAGCAAAAAAAAAACCTGCGGCGCGGGAGAGAGAGAGAGAAGGGGGCGGCCAGGGCTACAGCAGGGGGGGCGCCACGCGGCCCCTCGCGCCGCGCCC